TCCACTCTAATCAACTTTCAGAAAGTTCTAATTTGGACTAATTAATTACCCCTGTAACTCTTCGTGGAGGAGCATAGACCACCCACCAGCATTCTCCATCCATCCCTGTCGTGGGCAATCCTTTCCAGTTATTTCCAGTTGTTATTCATCCTTTTCATATCTATTTCTATTTCTCGATTTGATGTGTGCTTTGGCCTTTTGCTTTTCCACTTCCCTTCAGGATTCCAAATGAGGGCTTACATCGTGATGTAATTTGATGATTTCCTCAATGTCTGTCCTATTCATTTCCATCGTTTTTTCCTAATTTCCTCTTCAACTGGAAGGTGAACTGTCCTCTCCCACAGAATGGTGTTGGGTGAAATGATTGAAGACTATGAATTTATCATTACCAAATAAAAAATTTTGGACAAATTTGTTTATCTTATTAAATTGTTTTGTTTTTTCAATAGTAAGTTACTTTACATTTGTTCTTTCATCATACTCATCTATCTAATCAAGATACTTTGAAATTATTCTTCTGATATTTAGAATCACGTCATTAATGAAAATATCTCAAGTCGGTATTATTCTGTTAAGGTGTTACACTAGACACTTTTTAGTGGCCCGTTATTCACTAACACCAGTTAAGTCAATAATTATCCACGAGGATAGCTAGGATGTATATTTTGACAACAATCATTCATACAATACTACTGGAGTCAGATCCAGAGTCACTAAAGTGGTGAGCCGAATGTGTTTCGAACACGCAACCTTATGATATGGAGTCAGATCTGGGGCCAATAAAGCAGATCACTAAAGTGATGAGCCCGTCGACAACATCGTCCAATCTAATTGACGTCAAAATGAAGAGTCCCAATAAAATATTTCCAAGAACCAATTTCGCATGTGCCTTCGATAAACTGTCTGCATGTATCGGTATTTTCGGATTATGAAAGAACAAGAAAATCATGATCGATGTAGTAAATAAAATATACAAACGAAATATGATACAATTTCTATTGATATTCATGTTTAGCATCTCATTGCTTTAACCATTGCAAAGCAGTTATCGAAACTGGTGTCGCGACACGTTAATGTATAAAACCAGACATCGTTGGTTTTGAAATCATTGAACTTATTGAATACTAACACTAGAATCTTTTTATTATGGTCCCTAATGAAACCATAGTACTACTATACATATCTTGTGTATCCAGGCGAATTTGACCATCTACCAATTGAAGTAATATATTATTGAATAGTTTGTTTTAACAATTATATTTTCTTTGAAACATTCAATTTATCTTCACTTTAAATGTTGTGACTAACTTATTTACATAAACTTATTACCCCTCATGAGGAGCATAAGCCACCCACCAGCACTCTCCATCCAATCTTGTGCAATGAACGAGAAAACAAGCGGGATGTATCTAAACAAAATTACAGAATCTCTTATTAAAATCTGAGAACCATACTTCATTTGAAAAATGTCAATCAATCATCTCAGACTTTTCTGTCCATCCATTTTCACACTAATCATTTACTGTTTCCACTCTTTTTCTTCGATATTCTTTACTTTCTGCTGTCATTTCACTTTCGATTGATAATACATACTACTTATATCTGTCGACATCAGTAACACAAGCCACAGCTGTACTAGGCAATCCTTTCCAGTTGTGAATTTGAAGTTAAAACGAGTTCTAAAGTAGGAAACGTTTTAGTTTCCAAACTTTTTCAAAATGGCGATAAGATTTTTACACAATATATGTAAAAAAACCCCCAAAATAGTCATTATTTGTATTATTTACATGATTATCATTGACTGGTAAACAAGTTTTATATTTCTTCTTTCATACAGGTTGTTGTTTGCATTCATTTGTAAGAGTTGTGGTTGATCAGTTTCGCTCAACATATGATCTTCTTGAATGGATTGCTTTGGAGATGCCATTAAATAGAATTAAACTTCATCCTTGTTCCACAAGTCACTGGGTAGTTAGTTTCAGTAGCTTGGTGGAGAAGGCTGTAGGTGTTTGAAACGAGGGGTACTAGGTTCGATTATTAGGAAATATAGTTACTTCAGGATGTCGATGCATTCAATTAACGAGTCCGAAAAAAGAGGAGTATCAGTAAACCGAGTTCCACTATCAAACACGATCAAACGTTTTCTTTGAAAGGTTTATATTTACGGACTAATTTTCTCATTTAATGTAAATTTTTTGTTTGATTAATATCTGATTTTACATATAGACTTTCTCACTGATAAATTTGATTAAAATGTATACGACAAACGTGACAACTATTCGCAAATCAAACAGAATGGTGTTGATTTCATAAAGACGTCATTTATACTCTATATCGTAGTATCAAAAACGGTTCACAGTAATATAGATTAATAAGAAGAGAAGCAAGTATTACTTACTTAGTTACGCTTGTTACTTACAGTGAAGCATAGGTCGTAGAACCAGCATTATCCAAGCAAGTATGGAAGGACTGTAAAATTGTTCAAATGTTAAACTGTGTGAAGATTGAGGTCGACAAGACAATCGGTTAGTCAGGTAGTCTACACCTACCAACATGGTGCACATGGACTCCAGTATCCCGCGGGAACAAGTGGAGTATGAACTAATTGTTGGTCACCGACTACCATGGGACTGCATCTCGTCACGATGCTCCACTGCCCTGTAGATCAGACCTTTAGGTAAAAGGCTCGAGTTGTGGCCCCCTAAGAAAACCACCTGCTTCGATCTGGGCGCTCGGGCAGTATCACAACCCACACACACGCACACACAAATATGGTGTGGCGCATATATATTTGGTGCACTCTTGTACCAATATTTATATGTTGAAATAAATAAATAAATGGCTCAGTCCACTTGTCAGTGACTTCATGGACTTGTGCCATGTTTCGGTCTGGCCTCCCCTAGCTTTCTTCCAACCTACTCCTATACCACTGAACATCGCACGTCGAGGCAGTCGATGGTTTAGTAGACGTAACACATGCCCGAGCCATCTCAACTGATGTAGTAAACTTAAATTGTCTAATTCTTATTGTTACTGTTGTTGTCAGTTATATACCCTTGTGTTTCAGTTATGATCTATACTCTTGTGAATATTTCTTATTATTAATATCTTATCATTCTATAAAATGCATAACCTGTGATCAGATATTTGATCTGATTTGTTATTACATTACTTAATCAATAACTTCCCATTAAATTCTTCAAATTTAGATCTAAATCAATGTTCCAAATGAATAACCAACTTTATAGTAAATACTTCTGAAATTGCTGTATGTGAACATGGAATGATTTGTAAAATGAAAGTGTTAGTGCTGAAATGATTAGTATGTAATGTTAATTGAAATTCATATCACTTTCCACAGTAAATAATCTTCGACTAAATACTTTATATACTGTGTAGCCACATTACTTGCACTTCTTGAACCATAAAATATCCTTTTACATTCTGAATGTAATCTCACAATTTCATTTAAACGTATGAAGATCATGTTCCAGTGTCTTCGAAGGATATGTTGTTGAAACAAACAAAAAACGGTTGAATTCTAAGAGTCAGGGATTCTCATAAGAACTCCGGAAATTTCCTCTCGAATCCAGTCAGTAGTGAACAATTCATGATTTCGTTGACTTTCCCCAATATTCCATTATAGAGTTAAAATAGCGAATACAGTACCGATGTTAAGATCATAAACATCAACCTCTCATTGATGATTATTCATCTATCATTGATGTAAACTGAAACTATTTTACTAAGAATATGATTTCAGTCGATAAATGAAATACGAATAACATATCAGTAATGAACACGTTTTGTGAAGATGAGATCATTGCCTTCAATTCATTCGTGCCTAGTCCTATATTGTGGAATATGACTGCTGTTACTCACTGACGTCCAGCATATAATACGGCTCAATCTTAACAATGAGAAAAGTTACCTGTCTGAATAAACCAACACACAAAATGTAATAACATTGGCTTCATTCATTAATCTGTGGCGAATACAACGTGTAAATCAATCTAATCTCCATTAAACTTCAACTCAATAAAAAACGATGCATCGTTCGTATCCCACCAGTTTTGAGGTCAGATCATTGTGATATCAAGTTGAAAATGCTACTTCATTTTAATAAGTATCTAATTTCAATTGTAACAATTTATTAATAAATAAGTGGCTTTGATTCATATTCAACAGTCGTACACTGTAAAATGAAGAATTATCTATTCAACAGTTGGTTTACTTACATACTTCATGTTTGTCACTCCCAATCGAGCATAGGCTGCCAACTAGTATTCTCCAACCCACTCTGTCCTGAGCCTTCCTTTCTAGTACTATTCAATTGTTGTTCATTCCTTTCATATCTGTCTCCATTTCTTGGCGTAATACGTTCTTTGGTCTTCCTCTTCTCCTTTAGCCTTGAGAATTCCAAGTGAAAGCATTATCTATTGAAGAGATTGGTCTACCTAGAACTAAATCAATACAAAACAGGTTAATCAACCAATCACCGATCAGTCTTCATTGACCTATGCAACATGTTTCTATTTCCTCAATTTCATCACTAATCAAGTGTAGTATTGAATTGATGACAATACATAATCAAAGAATTAGATTCCTTTTACTAGTCACATGTATTGCACCATATAGAATTAGTGAAAAATAAACATACAATAATGTTTTACATGGTGAATTACATCAATGCTTATCTACATGATACATAACAGTATGCATATCAATCTATCAAAAGCCTATTCACATTTGTTATGCGTAGGCTAAACTCACTCATTCATTTCTTCTTCTTTAACTCAAATACAGGCTCATTGGCAAATCATCAACAAAAAATGACATAATCAGCAGGTATGCAGTTTAATTAAAAGTCAATTTCGAATGGAATAATCAAAATAGAAAGGGGATTCAGTGTGAAATTCATCAACAAGAATAGAGATTTCGTGAACACAACAAAATTCTTGTGGCAATTCCCCAACAACATCATCATCCAGTTCAAAATCATGTATTCGTCAATAGTTGGACGATATTCAACAAAACTGTTCGTTTTCTTCAATTGTCTTTTTATTGTAAGCGATAATTTCCATTGATTTGTTTCTCTGTTGTTCTATTCATTTCATTCTTTATGATGCAATATAGACAATTGGCAGCATTGTGGTTGCATTCGGCATGAAACTACCAACCAATCTATTTGGATATAAGAGGATTTTACAAGCAACTACACCACCCATCTTCCTAACTGCTACTTTCTCAGGAAGTCTTGGTATATTAGCTGCTTGCATCGGAATATTAGCAATATTGAGTGAAAGAAACATGATCATGTATCTGGTAACCATTGAAATATTAATGCATATGCATATGCATTTCTATCCAACTTTTACGTTTAGCATCTATGTACTTTGACCATTGTAATAATTATGGAAATAGGCATAGCATCGACATCCTGTTTAATGAACGATCAAGTTAGTTCATGTCTGACTTCCGATTACTTTCACGTATACAGTTCTTCACTGAAGCTCATAGTTCGTTAAATACGAATGTTAAACAATATTGGACAAATCTTCGTTATCAAATAGAATTTGATGATTTACAAACAACAGTAAGTAAATATAACATCGGTAAATGTGTTAACTCTCTACATACAGTTCCGTTGTTGTGGGGCTGATTCATCCAACGATTATCCACATTTTAAACAACTTCTACCGACTTCATGTTTGTCTGGAATAAAGCCATATTCACTGGTAAGTAAATGTTTGATTGTTGTAAAACACTCTAATTGCATATGAACCCATTGAAAGCTTCTAATTCTGAAGGGAGTTTCAACATAGAATAGGTAAATGTCTGAGGAAATGTTTGACGTAACATCTCTGCACGTTATTGTTAACACATACAAAGCGATAACCGTGCTACAATAACCAAGATTTGTCCAATACTCAAACTATACAGTTCATTTATTCAAAAGTATACATTTTACACTATGGTTTAACATGCTTCCTACATATTCTTAACACATTCTATTCACAACAAATCGATTGGTCATATCTGCGTAGGAAATTACTACTCTTCTCACAATTCACCTGGAACACATGACCAATGCATATTTGTAACGTTCAGTCGCAAATTCGCAGACGCTGAAAATTTACATCCTGAGATCCTCAATTCCTTGTTACATATACTTGTCATGTTAACGTAGTTCTATTCACCTTAACTTGATTTTGTGTATATTCAAATAAATATGCTAGGACGGAAAGGCCTTCCGGTGCTTTCAGCTTTCTAATGGTGATCTAACATTGGTCGATTCATGATCTCAATCACAACTCAACCATCTGCACAACTGTATACTGAAAATAAATATACGTGAACTTATGATGTATGATACAGAATGAAGACTGAAGAACAAGACACCTTGATTGCATGGAAGTTAATGTAAAAACACGTCTAAGCAGATAAGTGATGGTTGTCTTATTTTCATTAGTTGTCTAATTAAAGTCAGTTCATCATGTAAACTAAGAAAAGGGGGCTGTCTCAATGCCTTCCGTAGGTTTCCGTCAACAATACTAGATTTTGTGGCATACTTATCAGTTTACTGTTGGTTTAGTGTTGTAGAAGTAGCTATTGTCCTAAGTGAGAAGTTGCATACATCCAAAGCGATTCGGTTTGCTGATCGCTCTAAGGCTTATGTCATTTACATCTTAATGTCTGCTTTTCAAAGAAGGACCACATTTATCAATCTGGTCATTGAAAAACCTCCACCGAATCACATGATTAACATAGTCGATACAAATGGATCAGTGATGTGAACACAGCAGCACACGTTTCAAAGGAAATACATATTTTGTTTGATGTATAGAAACATTTAATTCAAAACGAATGAAAATTTCTTGAATTTTGGATGCAGTGCTCATATCTTATTCAATACACCTTCATAAGGAAGGAGGATTAACTTGTTGTACAGACATTTTCCAATGAATCATTTCATGTAAACTAAATTCCACAAATCACATTCAACATTTTCATCTCAAGCTTACCAGCTATTCGTCATTCACTCACTGCTTTCCATGACTCGTAGACAAATACTGAAATCAACCAAACAACCAAACATCGTTCTCTATGGTCAGATAGATGGTTTATTCACTTGTTTTGAATATTACATGGCACTAAACATTTGTTTCTTCACAACTATACATGATTAATTAACACTGTGTAGTTTCTTTATTTAACATATATAGGGATGCATTGATGCATTGAATGAATTTGTACAATATTACAAAAATATTCTGATCTATTTATGCTTCAGTTTTGGAATAATTCATGGTATCTACTTGATTCTCTCATTTGGGATGGTTTGTAAATGTAAACATGGAAAAATTCGATCGACACAAACCGCTTGTTGAAATAAAACGAAGACTACTGATGAGGATTGAATCTCGGCCGAAATTTCGCACGAATAACATTTAATTATTGTTGATAAAACACTATTACACTTTTAGGTAACACTTGTTTCATCAATTTGTAATTTATACATTTTATTTATGTAATAAATCGCACTAAGATTACAGAGCTACTTGGTGAAATTTAAAAACCATTGTCTAACACTTTGTTTGCAAAAACGTTGATTAGTTGTTTCAGACTTTATTGTTCCTGTATTACCATACCATTTACTTTCTTTTCCCGTTCTTGCCTTCTTGATCTTCTCAATCTTCTGTTGCCAGACATTCTCTTTCTGACTCGCGTTATATACTACTTATGTCGTTATAAGTAGCACACTCCATAAGACTCGTATAATTTGTAGCATCTTCACCTATTTAAGCCAGAAATATATTTCACTCTAATGATAGAACTACATTCATAGGATGGATTCACTGATAACATTTAATAGTTTTGTTAGTGAATATCATAATATATGCGGCCTGCTTGAGTATCTGGGTTACCTGTTCCTGCTATTTAGATATTTCAACAAGTTATCTATTTTTGTGTTTTAAAATATCATTATATCTGGTAATCAGTTGAGCTATTCAGGTGCTTTTATGAAAAGTTTACAATCTTTCCCTGTAAAAGTTACAAAAGTGCCTAGTCAGAGACATCGGGGTTGTTAAGAATATGCAGTGAAAAGTATGTACATTATTCAGATGTCGATTCCTAAAATGCTAACCTCTAACTGGCGACCACTCAATATGTTATTGTCCGAATCGACCAAGAGTTAAGAAAAGTGACAAAGCTTACGTTCTACCAAGAATATAATATTGAATTAAGCTAATAATAATAATAAAATTATAGTAATAATATTAATGAATAAAATGTGACTTTCGCTTCCAGCTCAGATAATTCTTGGTTTTTACACCGAAAGGAAACAATACAAATCAGTGTGTTATGGGAAAATCCCGAATTGTTAAATGTGTACATTTACAAATGATGTATGGGACAGTGACTGGTATAGCTAATCATAAAAATCTCATTAATCAAACTCTGTTAAATTAAGTGAAGTTGATTTGCTTAATAATAATATGTAGAAGTAGTCGAATGTATTATACTAACTTGTAATATCCAAAACCATCAAATTCATACGCTTACTTAGCTACTCCTGTTACACCTCGTGGAGTAGCATAGGTCACCCACCGAAATTCTCCAACAAGCGCTGTCCTTCGCTCTAGCTTAAAATTGTCTTAAACTACTATTAATTCTTTTGATGCCTGCCCCCGATTCCCTAAGCAATGTGTTTATTGGTGGTGCGCTTTTCCTTTCACTTCAGAGCACCAAGTTTGCAGTTTGATGATTTCGGTAATATATATCCCATCCACCACTTCCAACATCCTTTCCTAATTTCCTCTTCAGATGGGAGTTGGTTTGTTCACTCCCACAGTAGGCTGCTAATGATGATATCCATTCAACGGACATTGAATATCTTGTGTAGACAATTGTTTATAAATACTTGTAATATTTTGATTATCATTGTGGTAGCACTCCAAGTTTCATCTCCATACAGTAGAACTGTTTTGACGTTTGTATTGAAGATCCTGACTTTGGTGTTGGCTTGTAGACAGCTGTTTCGAGTTTCATATTTTGTTTAACTGTATGAATGCTGTCCTTGCTTTGTCAATCCTCGCCATTACGTCTGCATCGGATACTCATTGTTCATTGACGATGCCACCCAGATAAGTGAAACTTTCCACCTGTCCCAGAGTTTCTCCATCAAGCCTGATTGGTTTGGTGTTCTTAGTGCTGTATGTGAGGATCTTGTTCTCTCCCTTGTGTATGTCAAGGTTTACTGATGCTGTTGCACTGGCTGTCTTCACAAACATTTGTTTATGTGTATGGTATAGAATAGCTGAATCATCTGTGAAGTTCAAATCATCTAGCTGCATTCAAGCTGTATTGAATTTTTGTGATACGTTTTCTCCAGTTGTCCATTGCTTGCTTGGCCACAGTTTCATCTTGGCAACCACTAGGTAGATGGTGATCTCCAGCTATGTCAAATCCCCTGATGGTTATCATGTCTTCTATTGACCTTCATAATTTCTTAGTGGTACAAATATGATCGATATGGTGCTCTGTAGTGTGATCCGGTGAAATTCATGTAGCTAAGTGAAACTATCCACCTATTCTAGACTTTCTTCATCAAGACTGACTGGGTTGGTCTTCTCCGTGTTGTATTTGAATATCTAGATTTCTCCCTTGTGTATGTTGAGGCCTACTGATTTAGAGGCCACTGCTACAATGGCTGTCTTCATCAACGGACTTCCACTTCATTGTTTATATTCCCAAGAACTTACACCTTAAAGTGTTAAGATACCTGAATTATATATAAGAGTCAATTTAAACAAACTAGGATATGAACAAAAACAAATTGCATAACGAAACAGTAAATATTAACCCTAAAGACATATGACGGCTTGAATTTAGGGTTCAATAAACTATGTATGCTCTTAAGATCGTTTTTATGAAAAATAATCACAAAGACTGAGTTAAAAACAATATTATGATTCATTTCAACTGTGATTTGGACGATAAAGGAAGACGTGTATTCGGTATTTGATTTTACCTGGTCATTTTGTTTCATAAATTTTTTACAGTAATTTCCAAATCACAACTGTGGTGTGACCTACTTATATTGATATAAGTAGTATATAACGTGCGTTAAAAGAACGTAATGTCCGGCAGCAGAAGATGGCGAAGATCAAGAAAGGAAGAGCAAGAGCACAATGGAATTGTAAGAAAACACATGTACAATGGAATGGGAGACAATGGATTAGTGTTTGCAACGGGAACAGTACAGTTTGATATGATGGAATGATATTTTGCAAATTGACGATTGATTTTATGGTATTCACATTTTATTGAGATAGTCTGTAATCTTTGTGCTAAATACAGTCGATTGTCCCCACCCGTGTTCTTGTTCACTGCATTTGGTGTCGCTGCCAACCAGGAGAGGAGGAGTGTGCTGTTCTGCGGACGCCGTTGCGGGCCTGGAGTTGAGGTGCTAGTTGGGGCAGTCTGGTGCGGAGAGGTGGCGTCTGGTGAAGTGTCCTGGCGGGGCTGCGTTGGCTGTAGCGGGTGCTGTCGACGGAGTGGAGCGTCGGGACGCACGGCTGCTGGGCGGACATCGGATGTAGATGGCTCAGCAGGCCGGTGGAGTGCGGATGTCAAGCGTCCCAGGTGCCGGGTGGGTGTTGGTTGTTGTTGCCCCGGCAGGTCGACAGAGCTGTGGAAGTCAGCGCGCCGCAGACTCGACATCTTGACGGAGAGCGTGGCACAGACTGCAGAGACGGAGAATGTTGCACGGCGAGCATGAAGCACCACAAGCACGACTGCTTTAAGGGGGGGGACGAGTGTGGTGTGAGCTACTTATATTGATATAAGTAGTATATAACGTGCGTCAAATAAACGTAATGTCCGGCAGCAGAAGATGGCGAAGATCAAGAAAGGAAGAGCAAGAACACAATGCAATTGTAAGAAAACGCATATACAATGGAATGGGAGACAATGGATTAGTGTTTGCAACGGGAACAGTACAGTTTGATATGATGGAATGATATTTTGCAAATTGACGATTGATTTTATGGTATTCACATTATATTGAGATAGTCTGTAATTTTTGTGCTAAATACAGTCGATTGTCCCCACCGGTGTTCTTGTTCACTACACAACTACTCTTCAATAAGTAAGTGTGTCCATGAATATGAGAACTATAGATATTGTTTCCTTCACTAATGATGAACTCACCTGGATAGGAAGTCCGATTATTATCTGGTTTAAGCTTTCTTTTTAACACAAAGCTGTTGGATACACTTTTAAATGTCAGGGTAGTGTGTATACTATTTCTAATTGTCATAAACATAGTAGTTATTAAAATATCAAAGACTTTCTATTGGTTAATGGGATTCAGCAGATAACCATTCTTCATTTATTCTTCAATCAGAAGTGCAAAATCGACTTGAACGTGATAGGTCGGGTCTTAGAAAACTCTTGGAATCTTCCTTACTGTCAATAAATAATGATAGATTCACATGATTGATTTCTAACAGTTCGAATTTGACACTCAAATGATAATCTTTAATACCTATTGTGGTATTTGAATGAACTAATGATGCCTTTGTACTTGTTGAATGCTTGATTTCGAATTCGAAATACAGTACATTTGTTTGTGGTTATCCAGTATTTCTTGATCCGATTACGTTATTTCTGGGATTCTTAGTTCATACTATAATTCAAATACTTCTAATTATCATACCTATACATACTGATTTTACTTCTGCACCTGATTATGCACAACATATACAACACCAGATCTGATCAAGAACTGAGGTTCGTATATGTATTGATTGCATTGTCAGAAATAACAACAATGTATTCCAGACAGGTGTCGTATTTCGGAATTTTATATATAACTCAGTCGTTCAGTTCGAAAGTTCGATAGAAATTAACGTTGTACGTTAATCAAGTCAATGAAGTAACACAACTGAATGATCAAAAACACTTCACCAATTTCAATGTAAATTATTTAGAGATAATGAATACATGACAGAAATATATTTGATTATAATCACAATTGATTGATCACTGGGTGGCGATCAATCTCATGCGTGTCTAGTCCTTATTAGTGCAAATCGAATGCTATCGATCATGTTGCAATGTGGCCACCAGTCTAGGTGACTCGACACTGCGGCACTATATATTGAGATTAGGTGGTGGTTTGGAGGTAGTCGACAGCAAACCCACTTGATTCCCTGTAACAAAAGATTTTCATCATATGCCTAAATCGGTAAGCGTTACAATTGTCAAAACAACCAAGTACCACACACAAACATCAATAACAATAAATCATATTGGTGAGAATATAATTTATGGTCGACCCTTGAGCGACGCTAAATTGACCTTGAGTGTATCCACTTAATAACTAAAACCAAATGAGCGTTATAAACCAGTGTGTGGAGGATTAGAATTATGATTTACAGTTGATGGTTAGTGTTAGGAATTAGAGTTAGGGTTTTCATCACGAACTGACATCAGCTTCAATGCCAAAACTCTATTTAGTCAAATGGATGGGTGAATTTCGAGCCGAAATCTGACACCTGTTATCATATACCTGATTGGTTTGCCCATAAATTATAGTCTCGCTATCATATTCATTCAAAATTCGTTTATTCGTTACCGGATATACGATCATTTTTCTGATGATTCCATAGTCCACGTATTGCAATCAATGACGCGAAGATGGAAATACCTCCTGATATGCAAACCATGAGAGAGATCAGTGGTATCGCTCCTTGTAAAATTTCACGGTATTATTTCATCACGTCCTCCAATTTAATTCCATAGTCAAGCCGAACTCCATTAAATATCTTGATAACATAGATAAGAATGAAGTGAGCAAATCAAAAGGAATACAGAAGCGTCACTTACTACAAGCAAACAGTTGTATAGCATGAAAAGCGCTTCCAATTGTTTTGTGAGAATGTTTAGTTCATATTTGTCAGTTTGATGATGATGGATCGACTATAAAAGAATGTTGACAGATATTCGATTTTACTATTGAAATGTTATGATAGATGATGTGTGATTTGTCACAAAATATGCGACTAATTATCTTCATTCTAACTGAGATGCGTCAATGTAGTTAATAGTTGTGATGTGTGTGTAATGTTTGTTTTTCTATAACTGGGATCATGCACATTACAGCTATTTTCATCGTTTTGTTTTCCATGTTGTCAATTCAAATGATGGTGGAACATTTACTGTTGTTGTTTGATGAATGTA